ATATGCTATTTTGAAAGTATTTATGCATATTAAAAATATATAGGAAAAAATTGGGTATCAACAATATATACACGGCTACACTACAAACAACTTTCCTAACTAACATTTAACCACCTAACTAACTTCTTTAACAACTAACTCTACTCATTTAACTTAACTCTAGTATAGTCATCTTGCTTAACCATAGTCAATACTCCCCCTCAAGCTGACAGTCGAATACAAATTCTTCACCTCCAGATTATGCAGCAAATGATCATGTTGTGTTTTTGCAAGACTCTTTGTAAGTATATCTGCAATTTGCTCCTTGGTAGAGACATGACTCGTTTGTATCATACCTTGGAATATTCTTTCCCTTATGAAATGACAATATATCTCAATATGTTTTGTTCTCTCATAAAATATAGGATTGACAGCAATCTGAATTGCAGCCTTGCTAGCACACCCCAATTGTACTGGTAGATGAATATCAACTCTAAGCTCTCTCAACAGACCAATAAGCCAAGTGATTTGTGTTGTGCATGTTGCCATACTTCTAAACTCAGCTTCAGCTAAACTTCTTGATAATTTTTCTTATTTCTTTTACTTCCATGAGAATAATGCATCTTTAAACTTCACAAGATAACCTGTTACAGAACTTCTAGTTTGAAGACAAGCTCCCCAGTCTGAGTCACAATAGGTAAGCAATTGGTTAGAGCTCTTTGCAGGCATAAGCAATCCTAGTCCAGTTGCTTCTTTTATGTACTTGACCACTCTTAAGGCAGCCTCCATATGAGAAACCTTTGGGCTATGCATGTACTGACTCAGTACATGAACTGTAAATACCAGGTCTAGTATGGTCATTGTGAGATACAATAGCCTACCAACAAGCCTCTGATAAGGGCCTACATCCTTTAGATTTTAATCCTTGTTGTTGCTTTATGTGTGCTTATCATACTCATAAGATGTCAGCCTGTGGTTCAGTTCTAAAGGTGTACCAACTGGCTTAGTTCCTCCAAGTATACCTTCAGTTATTAGTTCTACGGCATATTTCCTTTGACACATCACAATACCCTTACTTGATCTTGCAAACTCAATTCCAAGGAACAACTTTAACTCTCCTAAGTCTTTCATCTTGAATTTGGTTTGCAACTTATCTCTGGTTTGTTTTAGAAGATGCTGACTACTGCCTGTAATTAGTAAGTCATCTACATAGACTAACACCATTGTTATGTCACTATTAGTCTTCTTGGTGAACATAGAATAGTCATAGTGACTCTATTGAAATCCCATTTGGACCAAGGCCTCTGTCAGCTTTTTGTTCCATTGTCTAGGAGCCTGTTTAAGGCCATATAATGAATTATGGAGTTTACAGACCTTCATAGTCCCTGATAAGTTTTAAATATCTTTTCCTTATGTTTTGATAATCTAACAAACTTACTGTCAAGGACTAGATAGGGAACCTGACACACGTGGACTATACTGCAAGATTAACGGATTCCAGCTAAATGTGAACTGGTATAGCTTCAGGAGATAGGAAACCAAACAAGGACCAGATGTAAGCACGTGATTTTTGCCCTATATGAGAATTACTCCCAGAAAATTCAAAATAAAATGATT